CATGATGTGAGGAGCTACAATAGTCTGTTAGACAATGACAAGAAGAATCTGGGCATGCTCACTAGAGGCACATGTTCTTAAAGAATTATCTATTTGTATGTGCATGGGTGTTTTGCCTACACGTATGTAAGTGTAACGTGTGTGTGTGTGTGTGTGTGTGTGTGTGTGTGTAGTGCAACCTTGGCAACCAGAAGAAGGCAATTGGCTTCCTGGAACAAGAGTTACTGATGGTTGAGAGCCACCACGTGGGTTCTGGAAACTGGAACCCAGGTCCTCTGCAAGGACAGCAAGTGCTCTTAACTACCAAGCTGTCCATCAGTGCAGGTTTTAAAAAGATGTTCTGAGGCTGGTGTTGGTTAAATCTTTGCACGTGGAACCTATGGATATGGGGGCTGATTACATAGTATTTGCCATGGGGCAGATATGTTCTAGACTTTATTATCATCAAACAATCTCTGTGGTATGTGGACTTGTAGAAGTGATTATTCTTTTATACCTTTTTTTAAAAAATGTGTGTGTGTGTGTGTGTGTGTATATATACACATGCCACATATGACTTTCTTAGATGTATTCTTCCTTTCTACTTTGAGGCAGGGTTTCTTTTGTTTCTGCTGAGGCTATCAAAGCTAGTTTCCAGGCTGCTCTCCCGTCTCACCCTCTGCCTCAGCACCGAAGCAGAAGGTTCTAGGGATTGAAGTCAGCTTGGGTCCTCTGGAAGAGCAAGAAGTGCTCTAACCACTGAACCATCTCTCTGGCCCCCCAAACACTCTGTTTCATGGCCTATATCACATGTCCTTTTCTTCTTAAATGAGTGTAACTTCCAGCAGAGAAAACATATCATTCTACTAGATAAAATGAAGCGTATTGGGTACAAATACACTGAAAAAGCCAGAGGCTATACCCTGAGTCTGGAATCAAATGGTCTGGATTAGTCAAAAATGCCAGCTTTACTCCAAGCTTCAATCTCCTCTTCTATGAGACTGGGCTAGAAGTACCTGCTGAGCAGTGTTGCATATGGACCATAAATGCCCGGGATGGGCACTGACATGGAAGTACTCAGAGAAAGCCATGTTGAGTAGCACTGATGGTCCCAACACTGCCAAGAATCAGAACCTCATTGCTGAAAAACGGTAAAAGGCAATTTATCACCAAGTGGGAGGCTAGACCAGATAATTTTAAAACCCTTTCAACTTGGCACAAAGATTGTAATATTCTGACTAATGTTCTCAAACTTGTGTGGAGTGGGGCCAATTATTTTTTAATTCTTCAATCTACCATTCGCTGATGCTTTTGTATAGTGCCATAAAAACCAGATGACAAGGAACATACAATTTTAAAAAGGCATACAAAATAAAAGCCCCACATTTTTATCACTGAGTCATTAGATGTAAAATTGCTCCATCAAATTGCTATAAAAGTTACTAAATGTGTTTTAATTATAGCTTGTATATTGGTTGCCTTTCTCATTGCTATGGCAAAAAACCTAATGGAAGGAAGGATTTCTTTTGGCTCACAGTTTGATGAAGCAGTTCATCATGTCGGGGAAGGCAGTGTTAGGAGGATGAGGCAGTTAGGATATTGTACCTGCTATAATTCGGAGAGAAAGACGCCAGGGGAAGGGGAAGGGAGAGGGGAGACTGGCCTCTGGGGACAGCAGTAGAGGAGGGGAGGGACAGACAGACAGACAGAGAAAGAGAGAGATGGGAGGTGAGCAGGGTCCATTTAAAAGGGAACATAGTGAAGGTGCACAGGTGGTACTCTTAGTGGCTACAGCTGAGGACGTATACCCCAAGGTCAGGCCAGTACAGATGCCTGGATACTAATAGCGCCCATTGTTGGGAAGCAGAAAGAGGTATATACTGCTTTCTACTCAGCTTTCTGCCTCTTCAGCCCCCAGGACGGTGCCATCCACATTTGGGGTGAGTCATCTCATTTTTAACTCAATCTCACAGACACACCCAGAGGTCACGTGGACAGTTGGATTTAAGCATCTCAGCTTGCTATACATCAAATTATTGCAAAACTCAGGGGCTTATGATAATGCTATAATTTCCCAAAATTTCTATGGGTCAGACATTCAGGAGAAGCTTAGCTCACTGGGTGTGGGAAATTAGGAAGGTTTTGTCTAAGACACAAACTGGGGCTACATCATCTGAAAGTCTGGGCAGAAAGGATCCACTTTCCAGGGAGCTAGTTTCCAAGATGGGTAAAGGAGGGTTGGTTAAGCGAGTAGCTCCAGTTCCTCCTCACCCACGTGGATTTCCCTGTGGAGCCGACGGCTCCAGAATAATCGATCCAGCAGACAGCAACATTCAAGTCATCCTGTCTTTAGGACCTGGTCTTAGAAGCCATAGTTCATCAACTTTGTGATATCTTTGGAATATTATCCATATTTGCTGTAGGCAGAAACTTCATTCAGCTCAAACCCCAGAAGCAAAATCTTTTTTAAAAAATATTTATTTATTTATTTATTATGTATACAATATTCTGTTTTGCATGTATGCCTGCAGGCCAGAAGAGGGCACCAGACCTCATTACAGATGGTTGTGAGCCACCATGTGGTTGCTGGGAATTGAACTCAGGACCTTTGGAAGAGCAGGCAATGCTCTTAACCTCTGAGCCATCTCTCCAGCCCCCCCAGAAACAAAATCTTAAGAGCACCTTGCAACCAAATGCTTGCTCCTCCTTGGAATACTTACCTGTCTGTAAAGCAAATTCTGAGTGCCAGGGGCGGGACAGATGTCTCAGCACTTAAGAGCACTTGCTTTTCCAAAGGACCTGGGCTTGATTCCCAGTATCCATATGGTGGCTACAACCTTCCGCATCTCCAGTCCAAGGAGATCTATTGCCCTCTTCTGGCCTCCTCAGGCACCAAGCTCCAACACGGAACACAAGCACACATGAAAGCAAAACACCCATTCATATAAAATAAAACAATACTTTCTAAAAAAAAATCTGAATACTAGATTGATGAAACGACCTAACTTCCTCATTTTGCACACGAGGAGACAGACCCGGTGGCCTCATTAGTGGTAGCACTGGGATTCTTGATTTCAGCTCATTTCTATCATGTTAGCTACAAGTCTCTTTTAGCTACTATTTAATGAAAAGGGAGTGTTTGCCTGGAGCTTCTCATTAAGCAATGAGGATGAACGGGATAGGACGGGACACCGAACCGCAGAGAGGCCGCCTGAATCACCAGCAAAACCATCTTCAAGGTGGTCATCCAGTGGGCTAATTCAATGAGCCAAGTTCAAAGGCATCACAATGTGACAATGAAAATTGGCCTGATTGAGCTTCAAAGATTCTATTAACTTGTAGAAATGACTTCTTCCCAGGAGAATTAATTCCTAGCACTGGCAGAGAGCCGCCTCGGAGGCTCGTGCTTTCAAACGTCTTTTAAGTCAGTTCGAAGACATTCAAGCAAAGGTGACGGTTTACATTCCTGCCTTAATACGCACATTTCCAGAGTCAAGCGATGCGATTCCGATCCTAATTACAAAGGAAATATGAAACTTCTAGCAAGTTCATTTTCCAGGGTTGAGAGATAACCTGCTTCAGAAATTGTCACTAAACCAATCCTCCCGCAGCCCCTGTAGGTACTGTGTGGTGGCAAGCATCGATGGGGTCACTTGTTTCAGCTCAACGGGTTTGCGTTTTGAGACAAGATCTCACTCTAGCCCACACTGGCCTCAAACACACAGCAGTCCTCCTGCCTCAGCCTCTCACTTCCAGCAAAGATCATTTCTGACGCCAGCAACATGTTAGGATCACTGGTGCATCATGGGACTCCAGACTGGGATTTTCTTCTGCTGCTTTTGCTCTCCTCCCAATAGAACCAGGAGCCCAGACAAGAAAAAGCTAAGATTCCTGAATTAAGAATGGAGCAAACCTTTTTGTTAGATAGTCCCAATCATAGAAAAAAATTCAAGAATAAAAATAGCATGTTCATCCATCACTGCTTAGATTAACCTTTTGTTGACATTTCCCTATTTGCCTTACCTTTTCTTCTCTTTCTCTATACACACATTCAAATTCTCTCTTTCTCTCATACACATATACACATGCATGGTTTTCAGCCGTTTGGAAATAAATTAGATATAATATGGCCCTTCATTTCTAGATATTTCAGTATATGTGTTTGATTTTATAGACAGCTATCAACCTCAGCAAAGAATTTTATGGGACACTTTACAATAATATGCCTTTTCATGTTCCAACTTTTTCAACTAACCCAATGGTATCTGAGGGGAACACATGTAAGAAGGTCACACATGCACAAGCATGTCAAAGCCCAAGCCTGAAGCCACACTTCTTAGAGTCACTATTGCTGTGATGAAACCCATGACCAAAAGCAACTTGGGGAGGAGAGAGTTTATTTGGTCCACTGAGGGAAGCCAAATTGGGAACTTAAGTCAGGAACCTGGAGGCAGGAGCTGATGCAGAGGCTATGGAGGGCTGCTGCTTCCTGACTTGCTCATCAATGCTTTCTCAGCCTACTCTCTTATAGAAACCTGAGCCATCACCCAGGGGGTACCCACAACAGGCCGGGCCCTCCCACATCACTCACTAGTTAAGAAAATGCTCTACTGGCTTGCCTACAGCCTGATCGCACGGAAGCATTTTCTCAGCTGAAGATCCCAGCTCTCAGGTGACTCTAGTCTGTGCCAAGTTGACACAAAACAACACACCAGGTGCCTTCCTTGGTCACACTCCATACACTAAGTCAGGGTCTCCCTTGAACATGGAGCCCACTGTTCCTGCTAGTTTAGCTAGCCCTCTTGCTCGGGGGATGCCCTGCTTCCGCCTCCCTCGCGCTGGGATTCCAGGGACGTCATCATACTCTCCCAGCTTTTACACAGATTCTTAAGATCCAAGGTCTCAGCACTGTGCCCAAGTGCTTCATTACCAGAGCTATTTCCCCAGTCCCTAATGATGGGTTTTGTTTGTTTGTTTGTAGCACTGTTTACCGAAGACTACTGGGTTCTCAGTAGACTCACATGTTCTGTTTACTTGACCGGAGCCTTCTTTAGTCTGAAGCGTTTCACAGATGCTCACCATCTTTCACTGCATTGACATTTCCAAAGAACAGAACTCTCCAATCCCTTCTGAAAACAGAATACCGGGATGGCTCAGTGGGTAAAGGCACTAATTGCCCAGCCTGCCCCAGGACTTACATGGTGGAAGGAGAGAACCAACTCAAACGAGTTGAGCTCTGATTTACAAAGTGCACAGGGTGGCACACATGGGTACACACACACATTTATGCACACACACAGTACATAGATAAATGCAATTATTTAATTACAGAAAAGTCTGTCTCCCCTATAAACTGACTCGCCAGGCTGCTCTCCTCCCCTATGCACCCCATAAACATTTAGTCCTTTCTACATGTGTAACTCTGGCCTACCTGGTGTCAGTGAAGAGCCCGGAGCTTTATGAATATGAACTCAAACGCCTAGAAGAGCCCCCTGCGGCCGTTTCTACCTACTGTCACTTGCTGAGGAAACTGACGCCCAGACCTGTGAAGCGGCTTGCCTGAGGTCGGACAGCCAGGGACAGACAGAAGCAGGCTTTAGCCACAGGGCTCTCAACCCTGTGCTCTGCTGGCTGGAGACAGGGCCTTCCTCCCAAATGACGTCTTAAAGTAGGGAGCAAGGTGGGAAATAAAACAAGAGAAGTGCGGGCAATGAATGCAGCGGAAGCTTAGAGAAGCCAAACACCAAGTCAGCAACATCAGCATGGGGGTGGGGGCGGGGCGGGGGCGGGGCCTATGAAGTTCACTTGGGCCCACTTGGGCCTGGCACAGTAGTGTCCTGTGAGAAAGTAGAATTAAAGATCCTGTTCCACCACTGAGCTAACTTGCTAGTCAAGGCCCAGAACTGGAATTTGAACACCACCGGACGCTCCCCAGCCACCTGCTAGCCAAGCCCCAAGCCTCCACGCATGCGCTCAGAGCTCACTTAGAGCGGCATCCTGCCAGGTACTTGACTCCTGGCTCTTCCCACACAGGCTCTTCCCAGGGACAGGGCCATGGGAAACGCTACCTCTTCCTCCTCCTAGACAACCACCCCCGAGCTAATCTGTTGCCTTTGTACTTTTCACATATCTTTGTTATGTGCTTATTTTTCATTTTTGTGTTTTGTTGACATTTCCCAATAGACTAAGCGTAAGCATCCTGTAACTGGGGGAAAAGGTATTGATTTTCTCTGTTGGGTGATAAGAAGCTTTTTGTTTTAAGAAAAAAAAATTATTTGCAATATAAATTCAGTCCTGTTGCAGTCTCAGGGTGTGTGTGTGTAGGGTTACAGTCTGTGGAGTGTGTGTGTGTGTGTGTGTGTGTGTGTGTGTACGTGTGTGTGTAGGCTTACCATATAAACAACGCCCCATTGCTGTTTGTGTCTGTGGAGTGTGTGTGTGTACGTGTGTATGTGTGTAGGGTTACAGTATGAACAAAACCCCACTGCTGTGTGTGTGTGTGCACCTGCGTGCGCAAGGTTACTATATAAACAATGCCCCATTGCTGTTTGTGTCATGGAGTGTGTGTGTGTGTGTGTGTAGGCTTACCATATAAACAACGCCCCGTTGCTGTTTGTGTCTGTGGAGTGTGTGTGTGTGTGTGTGTGTGTAGGCTTACCATATAAACAACGCCCTATCGCTGTTTGTGTGTGGTGTGGTGTGGCTGTGGGTATGTGTGTAGGATTACCATATAGACAAAGTCCTGTTGCTGGCTCAGGATATGTGTGTGGAGGGATGTCACGAATTTTCCCTCATAAGATCCATAAAACAAAAGTGGCCACTCTCTGGCCCGGTAGAAGTGGCACACACCTTTAATTCCAGCACTCAGGAGGCAGTGATAGGCAGATCTCTGTGAGTTCTAGGTCAGCCTGGTCTACAGAGCTAGTTCTAGGACAGCCAGGAGCCAGGGCTACACAGAGAAACTCTGTCTTGTAAAACAAAACAAACAAACAACAAAAAGTGACCACTCTCTGGTAAACTCTCATTTACTCCCTGGTGCATCTTTCTGTGTAGTAGGATGAGCCTAAATTGGCATCAGGGTAGTGGGTTGAGAGGCCCAGAGAAAGCAGCCTGCCCCAGCTGGGATGGAGGACCTCAGACACCTGGCTTCAGGGTCCTCCACAGTACACACAGGTAACAATATAAGCAGAAGCTTCCTGGAAGGGCAGGCATCTGGCCCAGGAAGTGCGGCGTGGAGGACTCTTAAGCAGATCTGTCATTGTAATTAAAACCCAAGACTTCAGTGGCTAAAGCTCCCAGCTGGTGTTTCAGTTTAGCTCTCTGGGAGCCCAAGCTTTCCTGAGAAGCACAGGTTGAGTTCCTGGAGCAATGGAAGAAGCCACTTCCCAGCAGAGGAAACTCCTAAGAAGAGAGGAAAAACACTTCCAGGGAACTGATGGGTCAGTGTTTGGGCCGGGGAAGGTGTGCTACCCAGCTCCCATCTGCTGGGTCTGGACAAAACAGTGACGCCTTCAGTCCAGGAGCACCACAGGAGGCTCTGGGAGCGGGCCTCTTTCTCTGCAGTCAGTTAGGGTTTAGGTATTGGGATCCCTACGGTGGTTTTCTGCAAACACTGCTTATGTACCCACAAGGGCTGGCAAGGTGGCTCAGTGTGTGGAGTACATGCAACAGGTCCAATGACTGAATTCATTTTCCAGATCCTAGAAGGGGCAGGAGAAAACTGACTCCCTAGAGTCCTCTTGCCTCCCCATTCACACCATGGCACCAGAGTCACACACACACACACACACACACACACACACACACAAAAAAAAAAAAGAAAATAAAGATGGGGGCAGTCAAGGATCACTTTTGGGGGATGGTGATGGTCTAGGAATTGTACTATAGTTGGGGGTTAGCAATAAAATTTACATTAACCAATGATCGTCTTATTTTTATTTATTATGGGGACAGCCAGGTGTGCTGGAAGATCTACAAATCTGGCATCCAGGAGTAAGAAGGAGAAGCATTGCAAGTTTAGAACCAGCCTGTGTTACATTGTGAGCTCCAGCTTATCCTGGGCATCAAGGAGGCTCTGTCTCAAACAAAATCAAAGGAAAACCATCACGTAGCAATAATACTGTTACTATCATCGTTGGTGTGCTACAAATGTTAGGCTGACCGCAATAACACTTGCCTAGTATGTGCAAAGGCTTTGGCTCAATTTTGAACATCACAAAAACTATATTCGAACACACACATAATTGCAAGAAGTTTAACAAAACAGGTATTATGCAGATTAAAATATCTGTACAGTCTCCAGTGGGAGTACTTGTTAGGGTACAGTGAACTCACCTTGGTAATGTATCTGTTATATGGAAGGAAGACATGCAAATCGCATATCAATGGCAGCGTGCAGTCTAAGAATGGGATTAAATATAAAAGGCTTCTCAGTCAGTCAGAAATAAAGGCTCAGATCCTCTTGATGTACCTTATAACTTCACATGCGCTAATACGGTGTTTAGCACTTCAAGTAAAGTGGGAATGCCTTTTATTTTAGTCCTTAGATATGTATCCTTCATTCTTGTAACCTCACTGCCATGTTCAACTAGATATAATTAGAACAACACAGATTTAAAAAAAAGGGGGGGGGGTAGACTGAATTGTGGCTGGTGTTAGATGAGGAGCAAGAGAAGCTGTTAGCCGAGGAAGAACAATGAACTTCTCAGTTTCGGGCCCTTGGGGAAGCAATGTTCGTCTACATGTGTGAATTCCTCAGCGGTTAACCTTCATGTCATATACTGAATACTAACAATTTAGAATGCACGGTCCCGCTAGCTGGGAGGTAGGTAAAGTAGCCATTTTTAGACTTCAGAGCGCGAGTCAGAGTCACCCCCAGAGCCTGCTCCAGGACAGGCAGCCCCCAGCTGGGTTTCTGCCTCTGTGTGTTTGGAGGATAGGGTGCCCGGGTCTATTTCCAGCGAGTTCCTGGTGATGCAGATAGCCAGGCTCAGGGACTGCAGTCTGAGAGCTGCAGAGTTAGAGCAATCATCCCCTCCTCAGGAGCACCTGATGGCCACCTAGGCCGCGGTTCGAGATAATTGGATTCATTTTAAATAGGCCACCGTAAGCAGTCAGATCTCTGGAGCACTTTGAGCATTTTACAGGCCAAGAGAGACATTGCTTTATTATTCCTCCTCTAGAATTAAAGAAAAAAAGCTTCAATGACAGAGACGTTAGAGCACTTTCAAGTTAATTAAACACAGCTTTAGCTGCATGTTTCTGACATCTTGATAATTAAACACATCTAGTGTTTGCCAATGGTTTTATGAAATAATTGCAAGTATATCCTTCACGGAGATCTGTCATTCCCTGGGACGCCCTTGGACTAGTAGGTTGAGGAATGACCACCAGGGGGCGCTTGAAGTCAGATCACACCCCAGATGGGGGTGCAGGCGAGCACACAAGCTAAGGTGCCAGCCTTAAATCCTCAAAGTAAGGTCCTCGTAACGTAACCACTTGTCATAAAACACCCTGAGACACATATCTTGGAAAATAGAAATGTCAAGCTCAGCATCTTCGCCACATTTCAGGCCAGGTAATTACCTTCTCTCCCAAAGGGAATCTATTTTATGTATTTGTGTGCTTTCTAGGTTACAAGTTTCCCAAAGGCAATGATCTTGCTGCCTTCCACTCATTCCACACAATGCCGAAGTGAAATGCACATTTTACAATAACAACTTAATTATTCTACGTCCCTCTGAGCTATGTGATGGCCTGTTATATAATTGCCCGTAATACAGAAACCTATATAAACCTCATATAAACCCGTGCAATAAATGGAAACTTTTATTTGGCCTAGAAATAAATTGCTTATTTACTTCACCTTTCTGAGAGAAAATAGCAGACCATTTCCCTGCTAGCCCGAATTGTACATCATTTCACACCAACAGCATGGGATTTTAGCTTGTCATTTTTATTAAGTCTTCAGAATCAAGTTTTTTTTTTAATGACACACAACAAATACTTTGATATAATCTAAGATAATAAAATAGTTGAACAACTTTGACTTCTTAAGATTTACATTTGTATAGAAACAATCTGTGGGGGTGCCTCACCTCCAAATGAAGGTGTCTAAAACAGTGATTCATCAACTTTGCTTTAAATATTTGTTTGATTGAAAGGTGTGTATTTCATTCCCAACAGAAATGTATTTCCATGCAGTTTCCCCTGGCTCCAAAGCTTTAGGCCATGGGAAGGTGACCAAGAAAAAAAGAATGCCTGCTTTTCTCTCTTTCCTTCTCTCGTGTGGAGGACGGTGGCTGGAACAGCATAGTTCCTAAGCCAGGAAGAAAGTAATTGCACATGTCTAGTCCATAAACGCCACGGTCACACACAGTCTTTACCCAGCACTGCTTAGCTGGGCACTCCTACCATGATGGCGCAGTGCATGCTGGTCCCCAAATGTTTCCTCCACTAATCTTGTCAGTTACTATGGATAGCCTGTGACCACAAATTCTCTCTAAGGGCTGGTCCTTTTGTCACTGAAGTCTTGGCCTTTGCAATATGTCATGTGGATGCTATGTCTTAGTGCCCAAGGAGAGTCCAGTCTCCTAAGTCATGCCTCACCCACCCTCAGGTTCCCAAAGTGCCTAAAAATGAACCCAACAGAGACAGTGTTTCCACCGAACACCTCCCCAAAGGTGCCGGGGACTCTGCCTAGATCATCCCATTGATCTTAGTCCACTCGTAGATGTCCTGCTCACACACGATGTCAGAGTTGATGAGGAGGTATCTGTCGCCGACACAGAAGTGCTTCTGGCAGGCCGCGCACTTGAAGCACTCCAGGTGATACACTTTGTCTTTCACGCGCA